TCATAGATTAAGAGCCAACATGCACACCTCTCTGTCTTGGGGGCATGTGAGCGTTAATTAACTCTATTACCTTTTGTTTCATCAGGCAGAAGGCATCCTGGTATGCTTCAAGACCTGAGTCAGATCCTTCTGCTCCATGAAGCCTTGCTTGATTATGGAAACTCTTATCTCCTCTAACTGGCTGGGGCATGCCTGGCTGGTCCACACACAGACACATCTTAACACACACACACACACACACACACGTTCTATTTCTCTCTCCCTCTCTCGCCATCTCTCCCTCTCTCTCAATCCTCACCAGCCCTCCACAGGCCTCAGACCATCCCTCCTCAAGAGCATAGCGTTTACCCTCCCCCCACCAACTAGTTTGATTTGATAGCATCTTGATTACCAGGTGGCAGCCTGACCCACAGACCAACTCATGGTGCTAAACGTATCAATCTCCTTTTGTGAGTCACCAGATCCAATCAAAACCCCTCCAGCCCCTTCCACATCCGGCCGCTTCAGACTGCAGGCTCTATCTAGTAGGAGACATACTTCATTCAATGGTTTCTTGGCTCTTTTTCGACTTAATCTGACAGAGTCATCTCTTTCAAAAAAAAAAAAAAAATCTACCAATGGCCAAATTTTTTACTTTGTTTTCTGCTTTTGTGCTTGCTGTCCTACAGAGTCAATGATCAAAATAAACATCAAGGTTCCTTGCAACTGTAATTTTTCCCCTACCATTGTCAACACTCCTTCTCCGCAGTTCTCACCCCACACTCACACAGCTTATTAAAACTCATTTGAAAAATGTCTCCAGTTGCTTTTTAAGGATTTTTCCATTCTGCATTTCCCCCAGGGCAGTGAGGGAGGCTGGCCAAGGGAGATTCTCTAGGAGTTCACCCTCTGTTTCCTTTACGGCAGCTGAGAGAGGCAGAGCCCTCCAGGAGCTAGCTTCCCAGGCCTGGCGGGAAATGCCAAAGGGTGGGGGATGGGGGCGACGAGGTAGAGATTAATATTTTTAAAGAGGAAAAAATCATGGATGAAATTACTCAAGACAAATTTTATGGGATCCAGTCGGAAGCGGTGATTTCACAATGGGGATTGTACACAGAATCTAAAAATGCCTGAGAATTTTATTTCCTTTAACTACAAAAACAAAAACAAAAGCAAAAACAAGCCCATCACTCAGTGGCTCTCCCATCCCTAGATTTCTGTGGGTGAGGGAGAAGCCTGAAAAGGCAGTTCCTGAAGTCGTTCCTCTCCCTAAGCCCTGACTTTGACTAAGCCCATAACCTGTAGAGACTAGCAGGGTGCCCGGCCCAAGGAAGCGGGTTAACAGCACGGTATACCCTTGAACAACGCGGCAGATGGGAAACCAAGCCCCCGCATGGTCAAAAATACCCATATAACTTTTGACTCCCCCCAAAGCTTTACCAATAGTCTACTGTTGAACAGAAGCCTTACTGAGAACATAGTCGATTAACATATTTTGTAGATTGCATGTTTTATATACTGTATTCTTACAATAAAGTGAGATAGACGAAAGAAAATGTCATTAAGAAAACCGTGAAGCAAAGGAGATATGTGTACAGTCTTGTACTGTTTCGAAAATAACCCGCATGTAAGGGGCCAGTTCGAACCCGTGTGGGCCTAGGGTTGACTGTATTTCCATCTTCTCTCTACAAATCATCAGATCTCACAGGTGCAGGAATTTTGCTCATCATCTCCCAAACACCCTCCACTCTTCCTCTCCTTCCTGCTGTTGTTCAGGCATTGTCATTTGCTTTTCTTCTTTCCAGATCCCTTGGAGAACGATCAGGGTACATGAACCAACGGCAAGTAGTCAGTAGGCATAGAAAAGGCCAAATCAATCACCCTTGAACCGTATCTTCACAGCAGGCTGTGGAGACCAGACCTAATTCATGACTTGACATCATGACTGGCACCAATGGATTTACACAGTCATCCCCAGTGGTCACCACACCGGACAGGCACCCACACGTTACACACATCTAAGTCCTGTCAGGCCACCCGTGTAGTGCGTGGCCTGAAGCTATGTGCAAACCATCAGGAAGTTCTCAAAGCGTGTTTCCATGGGGGCCCCTTCTTCCTATACACTGAAAAACAAAGCCTCACCTAAAAATAATTAAACCCGACTTAACGTTATTGCTGCTTTGTGTGTCAGAATAAAACAAGAGTGAAAGAAATCTTAATAGGCCTGCAATCAGATCTCACATTCCTTAACTGTGTATTAGAGTCTTAGTTGAAACCAGGTTCAGGGTAACTCAGAGGAATTGTCCTTTCTTTTCAGGAAAAGCGAAACTAAAGCAGGACGGAGCTATGGGGATTGAGCCTGGCTCCCGTTCCCAGCCCCGACCGTGGCCCAATCCTCCCCTCCTCAAAGCCTGGCTTGAGCTCTCACCCTACTCCAAACTCCAAGAGCACCTCTCCTCTGAGTCTCCTGGTTTGAACACCCCACACCATGCTCTTTGCTGCTGTTTGCTTACAGAAGGAGTATAACTCACCATCGCTTAGGGAGCAAACCCCTCCATTTTTCTGCTGATAAGCCCAGAGCCAGCACCTACCTCATAGTTAGAGGAATGAATAATAGCTACTCTTTAAAACCATGACTACTGGTTGTGATAGGAAAAGTCACATTTTCTAGATGTTGCGGGTTTAGAAAATGATTCTTCCTAAGATTGCTTTCATTAGTAAGCTAAGGTCCTTCGGTGAGGTTGAAATAGGATTCCCTTTTGACATGTTAGATGAACATACATCTGTTGTGTAAAGTGGGGTGTGCTACTGTTCTCCCAAACAATGGTGGTATGGCAGAGGTGGGGCAAAGTCACTCCTGTAACTGTGGCTATCTGATACCGGCCTGAGAAAAAGGTAAATCTCTGAACTACTAAAGTCCCTTCTCTCCCCAACCCCACTCTTCAGCCATCCAGATCCTAATCTCCATGTCAGTTTGGTTATTGTTCTGTCATAAAGGAAATCCATGGTGTTACTCAACACCATTTTGTGCTCCAAAAGCTGCCATACAATGAGGAAGCTTAGCCTTGATGTTCTACAATATACAGAGGAGAACACTGCTGACATGGAAGATATTCATTCTCTCACTCGTTCACCAAGAGGGGTAGGAAAGCTGACCCTCCACTGTGGCTCCCCAAGGACATTGGGCCTCTTGGCAATGTGTCCAAAGAAAAAAACACCAGTGTGGATCCCTACCCAGGAAACCACCACAGATAGTGGAAGAGATGGCTACCCGTTAGGGGTAGGGAAAGAGGGGGGAAAGTTCCCCCAACAGAGGGGACACTGTTCTGGGTCAGGCAAGAGAGCATATCAGTGTGGTATCAGGGCAAGGTCTAGTGGACTGGGAGTTCCAGAGACCAGATGCCAAGTCCGTCTTGGCCAAAACAGAGTATCTTATGGGCAAAAGACTTCTACTCCTCTGAAATCTGATTTTCTCAATGGAGCAAAAAGTAGAGAAAAGAACATTGACCATATGATTCTCTTTTCTCATGTTGGGCTCTGCGTATGTGCACATACATGCATAGACCCACAAATACTAGGCATTCCATAAAACATGTCCAAAACAAGGATTGCCAATGGGTCCTGTACTTGTTTGGAAAAGGGATTTCCAGATTTTCAGAAGGTATTTCTTATTCTCCTAAGATTCTCCAAGATTGGAGGGATAGGAAAAATGCCAGTAGATCACCATTTCTCAGTGTGGAGTAGGTACTGGTATGGATGGAGCTTGAGAACAAATAATTAGAAAATACTATATTAAATAAAGGTGATTTTTTTGTCCCATTGCAGTTCTCCTCAGGGACTTCAATAAGCAAGTGTATGTCGCGAGACAGTCTAAAGGAAGTCAGATGGCAATTTCCCAAACCGTGGGCTACAGAGTCCTTTATGCTTAGAGTTTCTCAAGTGATGAAAGTTCAGAGAAATACCCTTTGAGAAACAGTATACCAAAGAGACTGTAAAGTCCCTGAGGTCAGAGACTGGGCCTTGCTTACCACTATATCTCCACACCTGCCACACTGGAAGAATTCAATCAAATATAATAAAATAAAATTTTGCCAAATGACCAAATGAGTAATTATTGAATTCAAAGTGGAAGAATGTCATCACAGTGACGTAGAGGTGGGAGGATGCCAAGGGGCAAGGGATCGTCTCTCCAAGATGGCACCCTTAACTGTCTGGGCTCCCAATGGGCACAGGGAGGAGTTTCGGGTGAAGTCGCCTGTGCCTTCTCAAGAAGCTAAGGGCTACAGACCCATAGGGCATCCTCAAGGACTTTAACTTTCTTTTTTCTCCAAAAAGGGGTAATAAAATACGAGCTTCATGAAGAATGTTGGCATTTCTCTTCTTAACTAAGAATAAGTTAAAAAAATCAGTTATGATACTCATAGGTCAGACTCCATAATGCTGTTACAGATTATTTTCGTTTCTTTACTGCCACCTTCTGGTTCCCAGGCTCCTACACGGTAAATTTAAAACGCCACCTTATATTTGTATTTCGCCAGGGCATTGTAAGCACTTGCCCACAGCCTTTGCCTCCTATGACATTATATAAGTCAGAAGTGGTTAGGGCGGCCTTCACTCCTTTTTATCTGACCTGAAGGCAACAGGGAACTTAAGTGATTTGCCTAGTGATAGAAAGTTAGGAGCAAGGACTAACCACGCCTGTTGGTTTTTCCAAGGAGCAAATACTGGGTTTAGCCATTTGGCTTTGTCCAGCTACCTCTGCAAAGAGTTCTATTGCCCTCTCATCCCTCCACAAGCACAACCTTGAATGGAAAATTCCATGCCCTTAAAAAAAGAGGATGCTGTTCAAATATACCCTGATCTTTTCAAGGGTAAAATCCATTCCACTTTACAAGGCCTATGAGAAAAGAATGTAGAGGGTCTATAATTGATTTTTTTTTTTTTTATCTGACATCAAGATGCCATCCCATCATACAGCACTACCCCAAGATGGCGGCCCACCATTTTCTTCTTAGCCATACCTTGGTCTGAAAGCAGCAATAGAGTTGGGTTAGGTACGGGTGTTTCCGCGCCAGCGCCAAAATCCTCTTCTCCGTCATCGTGCAGTCCACATCATCATCCTGGAGGATGACATCCTTCTTTAAGACCTTCACAGCATATACTTCATCTTTGCCTTTCAGCTCTGCCAACATGACCTGCAATGAACCCAAACCACTCCCATCAATCTATACACACATGGAATCAAAAGAAAAAACACAAGTCAATACCAAAGGCTTTAAAAACTAACTTCTTTTTTCTTTCATTTTAAATACTATAACAACATTAAAAAATGTTTAGAAAAACTACCCATCCTAATATAGCTACTATAATTCATTTATTTATGTTTCATCTCTAGCACAGGACCTAAGCAAAGAAAAAAGAAGTTCAACACACATGTGTGAAAGACTTATTCATACATACATATACATTTGTCATACTTGCAATTATAGTATTGCACAAGTAATATTTTTTAACTGACATTAGTAAGGATTTATCATCTACATTGTCACCATCATTATCAGTCTATATCAGCCATTATCAATTATACTCAATTGAAGTAAACATATTACAATTTATTTAACCATTTACCTCGTATTACACACTTGAGTGAAACCTAATTATTAAATATCACAGAAATAAATTGGATCGAGTATTTTTGTACATGTCATTTTGTTTCTTTTGGGGGGCGCATATCCTTAAGCTGGAAAGTCTTAGAGTATAAGGTTAGATATTTTGCACATTTCTTGAGTTTCAAAAAGGATATACAAAATAATCTGCTGCTAGGAATGTAGAGATGCTCTAGTTTCATGGCAGTGTACCCACATTGGGTGTTTTCACTTAAAAAGTGTTTTTGCTCATATAACAGGTGTGAAATATAACCTCAAGGCTGTTTTAACTTGCAATGGAACTTTTTAAAAAATTTTTCCTTAAATTGTATTTGTGTGAGTTGTCAGTTTCATATTCAAGATAACTCTGTCTAGTTCTATCTACTGTCTTATATTATTTTCTTATGAATCTGTATGGAGTTAGTATATAACGATACTAACACTTTGCTTTCTGCAGAGGTTTGTCTAAGCCTGTTTTATGATTTTCTGTTCTATAGCAAACAGGATCACTTGTCCTTACATAGCTAGATCTGTCATGTTTGCCTTCATGGTTCTTCTATAGCATTAACGCTGGGAATGTGATTCCTTCTCCAGAGAGCAAATTCACAGTTCTATGAGCTTCAAGTTTTCCCATCGTTTGATATTTTTGCACTCATTTCTCCGCAATGTGACAAGTCCTTCTCTTTTTAAACAACCATCTCCTAAGCCCAGTATTCCAGGGTGAGCTGCCAGGCCTCAAGATCGGTAACTCAGAAGCTTCAAGAAGGAATTCAGGGTGCTACCTGAGGAACTTTCATCGCTGACGAGTAATGCAAAATCTTTAAAAGTAGCTCAAATGCTGGCTGCGATTTTTCCTAAAAAACAACCTGAATGCTCCAGAGTCATCCAAGTTCCCATCCTGCCTATACGGTAAGTAGACCTGGAAACTCTGAGCCTGCTCGTTTCCCTTGACTCTTGTTCAAAATTAAACCTGCTCACATCCCCGAGTTACGCCTGGACCAGGGCACTGGGGCCAGCTTCTTATTTACTCAGTCTCTGAAGAATGTGACTGCTTCAGCCTCTACATTTAAGTGTGCTCCTCCTTGGGTTACCTTCCTCCTACAGCGATCTCAGGATGAGATGGGGCAGGTGAGGGGCTGGGAGGCAGGCCCACGCCCTGGAGGTTTCCAGAGCCATTCCCTTCAGGGAACAGCAGAGCGGCTCTGTGGCTCAGCAAGTGGCTGATCTGCAGGCTGCTGCTTTCAAGAGCCCAGGACACGTGAGGGCATGTGACTTGGGAGCCGCCAGGCCCAGGCCCTGGGCCCAGGAGCAGGGTGTGGAAAGGCACCTCCTAGGGACTCCCATCTTTGCGGAGCGCAAGGGAATGATCAGGGATCTCAGCTGAAGGGTTAGCCAGCATCCTGGGCCCTCTGCCCTTCCATCTTCTTTCTAAAATGAACAGGGATTATTTCTCCAAGTCACTGTGCCACTAGAATGGAGTCCGATCACCCCGAAAGCTTCACGGGGCACATACACCCTGCAAGGCTGTGCTTATCTCAGTGTGGGGCAGGACAGGAAGAACGGCACCAAGGGCAAGATCCAAGCCAGGAGGTGATTATTCTCATTCTCTTGCCACATGTGCAGGATAAACAGCCCTTAGTAAGTGCCAGAAAAGTCAGTTAAATAGCATTTAACTTTCCAAATAATACATGCTCAGATTCGCTCAGAGCCCGAAGTTCACGGAGGGCAGAGATTCCAGAGTTCGTTTTTTTTTTTTTTTTTTTTTTTTAAGATTTTTTATTTATTTGACAGAGAGAGACACAGCGAGAGCAGGAACACAAGCAGGGCTAGTGAGAGAGGGAGAGGCAGGCTTCCCGCCGAGCAGGGAGCCCAATGCGGGACTCGATCCCAGGACCCTGGGATCATGACCTGAGCCGGAGGCAGACGCCTAACGACTGAGCCACCCAGGTGCCCCACCAGAGTTCATTTTCAAAGTCTCTGTCATGAATTACAGCCAGAACTTCAGATGGATCTCTGAAGGAGGGAAGAAATGCAGTGTTAGCTAGTATCGCCGAGAATGGGGATGCCAAGCACACATAAAACAATTTAAACGTTCCCAAGTGCCTTTTTTTTTTTTTTTTACCCACGACCTCACTTGATGCCTGTGTCCCCATTTGACAAAGGAGAAAAACTGAGTCCCGAAGAAGTTAAGTGACTAGCTGGAAGTCCCACAGCGAACGAGCAGCAGATCCCGGGCTCCCACCTGCTTGGCCGCACGCCATTTCCACGGAACAAGGAAGGAAGACGCAACAAGACCAGGCTGAGATGTTCACAGCCTGATCTTACTCAGATCGGACAGATGAGGCAACGCCACGGGGCAGAGAAAGTCAGCAGTTGTACCCATGCACGCCACAGACCTTGCCAAAGCTGCCTTTGCCCAGCACCTTGATGAAGGTGAACTCATCCAGACCCAGGCGCTTGGCCTGGCCCTGCCGCACTTCGCCGTTCTCCCCGGGGCTCGCCTGCTGGCCGTCGCCGCCTGCTACGCGGTGCTCCTCCCCGCGGGTGTCAAAAGACAAGGCCTTCCGGATGTTGTTTTCAAGTTCTTTTATTTCTAGGGCCAAGGGTGACAAGAGCTCACATTAGTGCATACCTCAGGATCCCTTCGCATCGGGACTCAGCACTCAGACCACACCCCCCACCCCCGAACCGCACCGTGAGGTCTCAGCCCGCCTTCGGATTCTTCATAGCAGCAGATCCAGCCTGGCATCCCTCCACGGGTTCCTCCCTTTGCTCTCCAAGCTTTCACTGGCACCTAATGTACAGCAGGGCCTAGGGATGCGAAGAGGAGGCGGACACAGCTCCCCAGGGCCGACACTTCCAGATTACACCGAAAGCCGGCCCAATCTCTCTCTGAAAGCCCCCTCTGGCCTGTGGCCTGTTCTGTTATTCTAGGTGTAGTGCAGGAATCCTGGCTTTCTCTGGAACCCTGTGGAGTCTCAAAGACAACAGGCTCCCTTCAAGTTCCCTTTGAAAATTAGAAGCGTGGTTAAATGGAGAACTGTCATCACAGTTATCACCTGTGATATAACTGTATCAGAAGCTAGGACCGGGAAGCCTTGAACCTCTGAAGGACTCTACTTGGCCTTATTGTTGCATTTATTCTAATATCCATCTCCCACAAGGTTATTCAACAAAATGAGCCACGGGTTTCTCATTAACTAAAGAACTGCTGTCCGAGAGTGACATGTTGCAAATTTATCTCAGACGGGGCAGGGATTCCTCAGTACAGTTTCACAACCACGGGGCAGTCTTGTGCCCCTGCAGAGCAGGTGACCTAAACTACCCGGCGGTGATAACACTGGATGGCCCTTTGACCTTTCCTGTTTGAGCAAGCTTTATTGTTAGCTATTCATTCACCAAGACACACACACCTCTCAATGCAGAACTGGGCACCACAAGCATAATCTGATTTTAAGAGATGCTCATCAAAAACTGGGCTGATGGAAGGGGGACACAGACTATCAACCCTTGGGAATCAGAATGAGGCATGATGACCAGGTGCTGCTTGACATAAAGAAATCTTCAGCGTCTTTTCAGAAGGATGGAGGCCCATAAGAGCTTGCTCAAGGAATCTGGATCTTTCTTAGATCTGCTGGGGTGGAGGGGAGGGAGGGTTGAGGATGGCTCCTGAGTCTCAGGCTCTCCCCTTGCCAATTCAGCCATTCCCTAGCACTTTTTCCTTACTCAGTATACCTTCTAGTCTCAGCAAACAGCTAAAATTCTCAGTTTTCAAGGCAAACTACTAAACAGATTTTGGAAGACAGAACTTGGGTGTTTAGGTTTTCCAAAGCTTGAAGAAAATGTCATTCTGTGTCTTCTCACAGTGGAAGGAAGAGAAACTGTGTGTTATCTCTCTCCTGTGGCAATACTGTGTCTTGCTAAGAGGGTCTTTGCATCCAATGTGCCCACACCGCTGTACTGACCAGAGACAAACACAGGCACGACATCCCGCCAGGTGGCAGCCAGGCCTAGAAACCACGCTCCACTTCACTCTTACTGGGGGCATCTACTGTATAACATTGTCTCCCTGAAGTTCTCAAAGGAGGTCTCAGCACTCAAAAGGGACACATGGAAACACCCACACAGGTTGCAGGGTAATACCTACTAGTTTGGAGGCCCCTGCGTACCACTGGATTACTCATGAATGGGTCAAATCTTTTTTGGAATGAAGCAGAGTGTAAAGATGCAGAAAGCTAATCAGAGCAGCAAGAACAGCGACTCAGACCAATTACTCTGTGGCCTCAGGATAGGCACACACCACCCTGCAGCCGTTTTATTTACTCCTGGGTAAGCCGAAGTGGGTCACAGTGATGACCCTCTGAGACCGGGGTCCCGAAACCAGGAGGGGTATGGTCTCGCCCTTACTGCCGACTTAGTTCCAGACCATTGGACAGAACTTTTCGACTCCCTGATCTCCCACTTCCCAGCCTGTGACATGGGGACAGGGATGGAGAACCACAGAGTTGGCATGAGCCTAAGATTAAGATAATGAACACAAAGAGGCTACAGAAAATCAAGGCACACTTGTCACGCAATGATGATTATTCTCTCTCTGCAGAAGCGTACATCCCTTTCCAGGGATGTCTGGTCACCGGAAGGGAAGGTTTTAAATGTCTTAGTCTCCCCTCAGCATTCTGGGATGCCCGCGGAATTCGGAAACTTCAACTATGTTAGCATTTTTTTTTTTTAATTTTATTGTTATGTTAGTCACCATACAATACATTATTAGTTTTGATGTCGTGATCCACGATCCATTGTTTTCGTATAACACCCAGTGCTCCATGCAGTATGAGCCCTCCTTAATACCCATCACCAGGCTAACCCCTCCCCCTCCCCCCTCCCCTCTAAAACCCTGAATATAAGCATATTCTTATGTGGAAAAAGGAAACCTGAGCTTTAGGAAGCGGTCAGGCCTAGAGCTGGCTTTCTCCCTTCTCCTGGTCTGTTCTCCAGCTCCATGCTCCTGTCCCTGCCCATCCACAGGCCACCAGCAGGAGGTGGTCCCCCTCCCACAACTCTTGCCCTGCTCTCAGGTTTTGGGGGTGATGATCAGAGTCAGGATGGAAGGAAGTGGCACTCAGCTGAGGGGCATGGTGGATGGGAGGACAGGTCTGGGAACAGGCCCCGGGGCACTCTCCTACATTTGGGACCCAGGAAAGAGGCGAGGGTAAAGAAAGAGCTACACCATCACCTGCTCTTTCTCTCTTACCCTGGCCTGGACAGGATTTAAGGCAGATACAGCTTTTTAAGTGCCTGTCCCTCAAGACAGCCTTGCAGAGAGAAAGAGCAGCTAAGGAGTCAGTAGGGAGAGGGTGTCTGAAGCCCTTCCAGGGCCGCCCCTGTTCCAGCTAACAAGGGCGGAACAAGGGTGGAGAGGCCTCCACCTCCTCAGTCCTTCGGATGACATTGCTCAGAGGTAACAAAGCAAATCCGAGGGCCTCACCCTGGTCACAGGGGGAGGTGGGTGCTGACTTGGATCGATCTTCCTCCGATGGTGAGCTTCCAGAAGTGGGCTGCGGGGACTCGGCGCCGGCAAGGAGCTAGAGAGAGGGCGAGAAAGAGGGGAGGCGTGAGAAGGGAGGGTGGAGGCTGCCCCAAGGTCAGGAGCATGGAGGCGCTGTACTTATGGAGCGAGGGCTGTAGGAGTCCCTGTTGCCCAGCAGCACTCTCTGAATGGACATTCTGAAAGCAGGCTCAGTTTTATTTGACAGTTAAAGGGAAGACAAGCGACTGCACCGGGCCGTGTATGCAAGTGCTGAGTCACTCCACTGTACACCAGGATCTAATATTACACTATATGTTAACTGGAATCAAAATAAAAACTTAAAGAGAGAGACTGCAATTTGTTCAGTTTTCGTTCTACCCACGCACAACTGTCCCACTTCCGTCGAGACCTCTCTCGCCTATGCAAGCAACGCAAGTTACCGCACCCAAAGCAACTCAATGTTTGTCTCTAGCACCTGTTGGGCACTTATCCATCGTCTTGTTCAGCTGTATTTAGTTAATGGCCTCTGCACGTGGATACTGTGTGGGGCTCTCTACTCAGGTAGACTACAGGCTCTTGGAAGGTAAGACTCTAGCCAGTATTTGTGTTGCTCCTGGCGCCTTGCACAAAATGATACCTTTAGTAGAAGCTCAATAAACATTTTTAGATGTATTGATATTGGTTGGCAAATTTTCACAGAGCACACAACACCCCCACCCCTCCCTCCGCCGTGAAGTCTATTTGCTGGCACACCCGTGTCAAGTTCCCATTAAAGTCAGAGGTTTGGACTAAGCGGTCATGCAGAGTTCTGCTCTATTTTACTCTTGATCTACCAGCTGCGTGCACATGTCGTCTCTGGACAATGGACCACCTGCAAGGGGCAACGTGAAGACAAGCAGCGCTCCAGCAAGCCTAACACTCTTGCAAAGAAGCCCTTTTAGCTTCTGACCAAGGGTACTTCTCTCCCTTCCTCTCACACGAAGTTGAGCTACTACTTGGTCACGTGGCTTTTTCCAGCTTTTGCACCAGAAGCAATCCAGCAATAAAAACATCAGAATCCTCTAGTCTTTAACTCTGTCTCTTCCCAAATTTCTCCATGTTGGCTTCTTACCACGAGGTTCCCCAAAATCTAAGACAGGCAGACGATGCCTGGTTATTGGTGTTACAGCCCGTGTAAATAGGGGGGAGAGGGCAGGTGTGTATTGCATTTTCTCTTAAATGTTTCATGACAATTACTAACGATTCTGTCTCAATTTACTTCTAGCAAGGTGAAAAGCCACATCTCCCACGAAGGGCTCTCCCTAGAGCTCATAAATGTGTGTGTCCAACATTGTCATGACAGGGTGTTTGCTTAACCCACCTCTTTGGTGGGAGCCTAGCATTCTTGGGTGCTGACATTCTGCTTGCAATTGCAATGTCTTGGGTCAATAACTGAAGTCCTGTTTCCACTAGTGGGATTTACAGAGCCAAGAGCCACCCCCACCCAGAAGCACAAAATCTCATAGCTAACCAACCAGGGAGAAGAGAATTCTTTTTTCCCAACCCTTGCAAAACAGTTTTGCTTATTGGGAAGGTGGAGAGGGAGGGGTTTAAGAAGATGGAAACAATCCAAACCTCCCCATTCGAGGGAAAGAGCTCTTCTGAGATGCACCAGGGAAAAGGGGCGGGCAGTTTCTAAAAGGAGAAGGGAAACACAGCCCTTCAGAAGGTATTTCAGGGCAGACTTTAGGGAGAACATTTAGGAGTCAAAATTGTAGAGCACCCTGAGACAGACTTGCTTTTCTGGTAAGTGCTTGAGAATGCCTGATACTAGGTGATGAGGATCACTGTCCACCCCCCACCCCCAACAGGATTTCTTGCCCAGTTAAAATGGTTCTGATTTTCTCATAACTTACTCTTTTGAAGACTTTTACATTTTCTAGGCTGGAAGCCAAGGCCAAGAAGAACCTTCAAACAAAATGCTATGGATGCCTTGAGCTCTATGTACATCTGTGGGCCCTGACTTACTACCAAAATAGCATCTTAGCAAATGGATCTCTTCCTACTGACATTCAGAATGTCACACGGATAGAGCCAGGGGGGCTTTGGCCTCCAAAGAAAGGCCCAGATGTTTCACGTGGTGGGGCATTAACAATATCCCTTGGGTGGTACTACCACAAATCTCCTTGGCCTGCTCCCTAGAGAAGAATGTGGTCCCAGCGCTTCATCCATGTATCCTCATTATAGTGACACCAGGGACAAAATTCAAACACTGACATTGCTTTCATGCCAGTTCTGGATGCAGATAAGCCTACTTCCTTGTCTAGAAGTGTGCTTTTTCTAGAGGGAATTCCAAAGTCCTCATCTCAGAGATTAGGTTTCCCTGAGGAACAGAACACTTGAGACTTGCTTCATTTTTCCCCCACTTCTGGAACTGAGGGGGCTTTAATGTCACCTGCCCGACCACTTTTTTTTTCTTCCCTTTTTAGCACATGTCTTTAGCTGTGTCTCAAACCCAGGAATCTTAGAACCTTACTCCGGGGTCAGGGGCAGGGGGCAGGGGCTCTCAAGATGAGATGAGAGATGGTGGCCTCCAAAAAGCTCCAGAAACACCTCCAAATAGCCAGTTACCTTTTTCCTCCTCTGGCCGCTGTTGGTGATTTTGTCTGGAGTAACACCTAGGTCAGCCAGGACTTTGGCAATTCCTCTGGCGTCCACCCCACAGTTGGGGGCCACGTTGGTCTCACAGCGCCGGTGAACGTTCATCTTGCAGACTGTAAGGAGACACGGAGAGGAGACTTCCAACATTCGTGACCTAAAACGTTACCTTGTGGGTTTTTTTTTTTTTCCTGATTGCAAAAGTAATACATGTCCATTTGATAGAATTTGGAAAATGCAGAAAGACAAAAAGAGAAAAATAAAAATCACCCATCATCTCATCACACAGAACTAAAACAGCATCCTTCAAAACACCATACAGACATAACCACTGTTTATGGATAAATATCACATTTTATTTCCTCCTAGGGAACAGAACACAGACCATAAGAGAATTTAACCCGTTTATTTGGAGAAAGTTCATCTGGATCCTGAGTACAAATGGGTTACACATACACAGTGTGCTTTACTACTTTGCTAAAATGTGGGAATATTACCAAGTGAGAAGTGCCCACAGTACAGCCTACTGAGATGCTCATCTGAACATGAGGACATTGAACGAGGTGACCTCCAAGGCTCCATTCAAATCTAAAATCCAATTTCAAAGGAACAAAAGCCATGCCTGAGAGTCTTTTTTTGCCCACATCATTTAGTTGTCAGTGTAGGACATCAAAAGCGAAAACATCAACTGTTCTGGTTTCCAGTCTAACACGTAAGGCGCTGAGACAATGTTGCTTGGTCCTAACAGGCGCAAAGCTGAACAAACTGAAAAATCAACAACTCTTCTCAGGTCTACTAGTGGAGTAAGGTTATAGGGCACACTGCTGCCCCCAAATGAACAAGACAGACAGGCAGCTACTGTGAACCACAACTCACCGGGCAGAAACTCCCCAGCAGCAACCTCTGTGGGAACCAGGACCAGGGCAGGGAAACCGGAACTGAAATTGGCAAAGTGCTGGAGTCTCAGGGTGGATGAGGCTGAGTCTAAACTCTGGGCAGACCCAGTCATAGGGGCCTCCCACACCTTTGTCAGTTTTGCTTCTAGAAGTTTGACCAGGTCCTCACAGTGAACTCTGGGGAAAAAATTCCCTTATGCTTCTGCCAGGGGCAGGGGAAAAGGAACCATTTTGAAATAAACCAGAATACTCTGTTCTTAACCAGGCCTGCTTTTAGGAGAAACTATTTTGCCACAGCCTAAACTATTGTAGGTTTATCAGATCCCACCTCACCTGGGGGAAGGAAAATACCCTACTCTAGCCTGTTTAGCTTCCCAGGTGGAAGAAGAAAAATACCCAAATCCAGCCCACTCCAGACATCCTGTCCCACCTAAGGGGGGAGGAAAAAGCCCCTTGAGTAACACTTATAAAGGTCATAGTTCAGAGGCACAGGTTCATGGCAAGACTGAGATCTAATCATAGGACCAGAGAATGTTTCCCCTGCCCCACACCCTCACCACCACATTACTAAAGGCCTATTTACTGCAGTTCCTTTTACTCAGCACGTCATGTCCAGCTATCAAGAAAAAGTTAAAAGGCATTCTAAAAGGCAAACACACAGCAGGGCAGCAATGTTGGAAGTATCAGACCGGGAATTTATTTTTTATTTTTATTTATTTTTAAAGATTTTATTTATTTATTTTAGAAGGAGAAAGAGAGTGAGCAGAGGGGCGGAGTGGGAGGGAGAAGGACAGACAGACTCTGCACTGAGTGCAGAGCCTGATGCAGGGCTCCATCTTACAATCCTGAGATCATGACCTGAGCTGAAACCAAGAGTCAGATGCTCAACTGACTGAGCCACCCAGGCACCCCTCAGACCGGGAATTTAAAACAGCTGTGGGGGCGCCTGGGTGGCTCAGTCGGTTAAGCGTCTACCTTCGGCTCGGGTCATGATCCCAGGGTCCTGGGATCGAGCCCCGCATTGGGCTCCCTGCTCTGCGGGGAGCCTACTTCTCCCTCTCCCACTTCCCCTGCTTGTGTTCCCTCTCTCACTGTGTCTCTCTCTGTCAAATAAATATTTAAAAAAATAAAAAATAAAACAGCTGTGATTAATATACTAAGGGCTCTCATCAATAAAGTAGATAGCATGTAAGAACAAATGGGCAATGTAAGCAGAGAGAGGGAAATTCTAAGAAAGAATCAAAAGGAAATTCTAGAGATCAAAAACATTGTAACAGGGGCACCTGGGTGGCTCAGTCATTAAGCGTCTGCCTTCGGCTCAGGTCATGATCCCAGGGTCCTGGGATCGAGCCCCACATCAGGCTCCCTGCTCTGCAGAGAGCCTGCTTTTCCTTCTCCCACTCCCCCTGCTTGTGTTCCCTCTCTCACTGTGTCTCTCTGTCAAATAAATAAATAAAATCTTTAAAAAAAACAAAACAAAACATTGTAACAGAAAACAAGAATGCCATGGCTGATCCCATTGGTAGAATGACACTGGTGAGGAAATAATCTCTGAGTTTGAGGATAGGTCAATAGAAACTTCCAAAGCAGAAGCAAAGAGAAAAAAAGACTAAAGAAAAGAAACAGACTTAAGAACTGTGGGGCTATATAAGGTATAATGGAAACACCAGATGAAGAAGACAAAGAAAGATAAACAGAAGAAATATTTGAAACAAAAATGACTGAGAATATCCACAAATTAATGTCAGACACCAAACCACAGATCCAGGAAGCTCGGAGAATACCAAGCAGGACAAAAACAAAACACAATAACAATCTTCACCTGAGCCTGTCACATACAAACTTCAGAAAATCAAAGATAAAGCAAAATAATCTTGAAAGAAGCCAGAAGGAAATTACACCTGACCTACAGAGGAGCAAAGATAAGAACTGCATCTGACTCATCCCCAGAAACCAGGCAAACAAGAAGATGATGGAGCGAAATATTTAAAATATTGAGAAAACCCCCCACCAACATAGAATTCTGTACCCTATGAAATTATTCTTCAAAAGGGAGGGAGAAATAAAGACTTCCCTTAGACAAATAAAAATTGAGGGGATTCACTGACAGTAGACTTGTCTTGCAAAAAAATGTTAAAAGAAGCTCTTCAGGGAGAAGGAAAACTATCAGTCAGAAACTCAGATCTACATAAAGAAAGAAAGACTATCGGAGAAGGAATAAAAACTTTTATCCTCCTTCTTCTTCATTGATCTCACAAATAAGTTTCTCAAAATAATAGCAACAATATATCCAATTATGTATGCTTATATGTATATAAATATGCAGGCTTATGCGTAAGCAAAATGAATGACAGCACTGATACAAGGAGTGGGAGGGAGAAATTATGATTATTTTGTTATTATAATGTACTTGCATTGCCTATGAAGCATTAGAATATTATTTGAAAGTGGATTTGGATTTGTGGTAAATTATACTGCAAACTCTGGGGCAACCACAAACATCAGTAAAAAAAGAAAAGTAACTAATATGCTCAAAAAAGGAGAGAAAATGGAATCGTATGAAATACTCAACTGAAAACACAAAAGGCAGAAAAAAAGCGGAAAATAAAAATAGGAACGAAGAACAAGGGCATCAAATGGAAAACAAGAGCAAAAATGGTAGTTATGAATTCAACTATATCAATAATCACTTTGAACGTCGATGGTCTAAATACAGTTGACCCTTGAACAACACAGCAGTTAGGGGTGTTGACCCCCTGCACTGTTGAAAATCCAAATATAACTTTTGGCTCCCTCAAAACTACTCCCATTAACTACTAATAGCCTTCTGCTGATTGGAAGTCTTACAGATAATATAAACAGTTGATGAAACATACTTTGTATGTAATATGTACTGTATACTATATTCTTTCAACAAAGCTAGAGAGAAGAAAATGCTACTAAGAAAATAATAAGGAAAATACATTTACAGTAGTGTAAAAAAAAAAAAATCCACATATAAGTGGACCCACGCAGTTCAAACCTGTGTTGTTCAAAGGCCCGATGTATGCCAGTTAAGAGAGACTGTCAGAGTGGATCAAAAAACAGGACCCAATTATATTTAATCTATAAGAAACATACTTTAAATATAAAACAAATATAGATTAAAGGCATGGAGAAAGATATACTGTGCTAACACTAATAAAAAGAAGGCAGGAGTAGCTATATTAATATGGACAGAGCAGACTTCAGAGCAAGGAAAATTATCAGGGCTAGCAAAGGGGTCAATTCTCAAAGAAGATATTAAATCTTTAATGTGCATGCACCTAACAGCAGAGCATCAAAATATGTGAGGCAAAAACAGAACTGCGAGGAGAAATAGATGAATCCACTGTTATGGTTAGAGACTTCAACACTCCTCTATCAGAAATGGACAGATCCAGAAGGCAGAAAATCAGTAAAGACATAGTTGAAGTCAACAGCACCATCAGTCAACTGAATAAAATTGATTACTATATCTAGCAACTACTTCATCCAATGACAGCAGAATACACATACTTCTTAAGCTCACATAGGACACTTAATAAGACAGACCACAATTTGAGCCAAAAAACAAACCTTACCAAATTTAAAAGAATAAAAAAAAAAAAGCATACAAAAAAAAGATCTGCTCTCAGACCACAGTGGAATTAAATTAGAAATCAAAAACAGAAAAATGGTTGGAAAATCCTCAAATGTTGGAAATTAAATAACATACTGCTAAATAAAACATGGGTAAAAGAAGAAATCCTAAGAAATTTTAAAATATTTTGAACTGATTGAAAATAAAAACACAACTTCTCATAATTATCGGGATACTGCAAAACCATTCTTGAAAGACACAATCTACCAAAACTCACAAAAGAAATAGATAATGTAAAAGGTCAATATCTATTAAAGCAGTCAGTAATTAATAACTTTCCAAAACAGACAGTACCAGGCCCAGATGAGGTGACTGGTGAATTTTACCAAACATTTAAATTAGAAATTATATCAATTCTCTATAATATCTTCTAGAAAATGAAAACAGAAGGGACATTACAAGAAAAGACAACTACAGCCCAGTATCTGTCATGAATATAAATGTAAAAATCCTCAACAACATACCAGCAAATTGAAGCCAACAATGCATAAAAAGAAATATACATCATAAACAAGTAGGATTTATCTCAAGTATGCAAAATTAGTTCAACATTTGAAAA